CAGTTTGGGCTGCCATCAGGAACCTGGCCCTTTTGCTTGTCTGCGCTGACCTTCCTGCTAATGACCACAAACCACTCGGCCATCTGCAGGCTGCCCCTCTCCAAAGTCACCTACCCAGAGGCCAACAGAGCTTATTATCTGATGGTGAAGAAACATGAGAGGTCTTGCTGTGAGGCATAGAGACCCGAGAGGAGAGACCCTGGGTAGATTTTAAGGCAAGAGCAYGATTTGTTTCCCTGGCAGACTGTGATCTGTGTGCTTAAAAAGTCCAACACCACCTTCTGCCTGTTTTCCACCACATCTGTCTGTTCTGTTAAGAAGATTTCTATTAGGTAGGACTGTGCTGGAAGGACCATTCCCAAGATCAGACAGTAATGATTTTAAAGCACACATGTCTGAAAAGACACTTGAATTATAAGCGATGGGAAAAGGACTTGAAAGCTGAAAGGAAAAATCTCTCTGTGAAATCGAAGACACAGCAATCAGACGTAAAGAAATAAAGAGCATGTTTCGGCTTCTGAGGGGGCTTCAAATTAATGGCTAAAAACAGCTGATGGCAGCAATAGCAGCAGAGAAAAAGGATTAAAGAGCGCTCTTTGCCAAGAAAAAATAGGTTTTGAGGGATTCTACCTGGAGGACCTCTCAAGCCCCGCAGAGAGAGATGTTCATCAGCAATCATCATTGACTGTCATGACAATCATCCATCAATAACATAAGATGGACWTGATCCTCGTAATTTTTGTGTTAATCTCATGATTTCTCTTAATACTTGAACTTGGTGATGGGTTAGAAAAGGAGGGGGCAGCAAAAGAGTCATTGCTGTYCCTTTCCTATGCAATAAAATGGCTCCGTTCAGTCAGCGCACAAACAGAAATAATCTGAGTTGGTCTTCTTGACTTCTCTCCCTACACTTCCCCCCTCAGCCCATGAAAATCAAACAGCAAAATGCTCCCCTGTCCCAGCCTGGASAGCTCCAGCTGGAGCAAAGGAGGCTCTGAGGGGAYCTTGTGGCTYTGCACAACTCCCTGACAGGAGGGGRCAGCCGGGGGGGTCGGGCTCTGCTCCAGGGAACAGGGACAGGAGGAGAGGGAACRGCCTCARGRTGGGCTGGGGGSGTTTAAACTGGATATTGGGGAAATATCTTCATAGAAAGGKTTATCAAGCCTAGCAGCATGCTGTCTGGGGCAGTGGTGGAGTCCCCATCCCTGGAGGGTTTTAAAGGTCCTGTAGATGTGGCACTTGGGGACGTGGGTCAGTGGTGGCCTTGGCAACAATTTTGTGATTCTGTGATTCTGTGTCACTGTCTCTGCCCCACAGTGCAAAGGGGGTGTTTGGGGACTGGTCCTGCAGAGCTCTGCTGGACACTGGCCACGTGCCACCTCTGCCAGGGGTCTGTGGGCAGGGAAGGGGACACTCATCTAACACCCAGCAGTGCTGGCCACCTCAGCAGGCAGTAACTCTGCCTGGCTCACTGACATTCTCTGTCTCTTGTTTAAGCTGATCTGTTCACCAAAATATTCCATATGCTCAGGTCCTGCAGCTGGCAGGAGCCTACATGCAGTAATATCACATTCGGAAAAGAAAATCAAAACCTTTCTTGTAGCAGATGAAATAAAATCTAACACGATTTTGGAAGGGGGGAAAAAAACCCAACCCACGTATTTTTGCAAACATCACAGAGATCGGAGTGTAAAATATTTGTGATGAACTGTTGGCTGCATCTTCTGCTGAAGTTTTGGGTTTTCAGATGTTCAATAGCATTTCTGTGTGGCTGACAGTCACTTGTAAAATGTAGAATTTACAKTATTTACTTTATAAGTATCTACATAATAATACATAATAAGTTAATTTCAACATTCATCATTCAACATTCACATAAAACAAACATCCATGCATTTTTTTGAGTTTGGTACAAGTTTCTATTTGTTATCCGTAAGTTCTTCCAAAGATAGGTTGCCTCTTAAATGAGTAGTGTAGAAGACACTGGACAATTAAATTTTCAAATCAGTSCATTTGGGATAATTAGGAAACTTTTAAACTCTGATCTTTGTGCTTATCACAGAATCATAGAATCACAAAACAGTTTGGGTTGAAAGGATCCTTAAAGTCCATCTTGTTCCACACCCCTGCCATGGACAGGGACACCTTCCACTGTCCCAGGCTGCTCCACCCCAATGTCCAGCCTGGCCTTGGACACTGCCAGGGGAACAACCACAGCTGCTCTGGGCACCCCCAGACCGGGGTCAGATGTCGTGTTCTGTCTGGAATGTACCTGGAACCAACCCAGGGCTGGAGCCCCTCTGCTCTGGAGCCAGGCTGGGAGAGCTGGGGGTGCTCACCTGGACAAGAGAAGGCTCTGGGGACATCTCTTTGCAGCCTCCCAGTACTTAAAGACTTCTTTAAAAAAATATGAAAAAAAACTTCTTATCAGGGCCTGTGGTGATGGGACAAGGGGCAATGGTTTTAAACTCAAGGAGAATCAATTCTGACCAGACATAATGAAAAAAATGTCGGTGGGTAGAGTGGTGAGGCCCTGGTATATGGTGCCCAGAGATATGGAGGATGTCCCACCCCTGGAAAATTCAAGGTCCAGTTGGACAAATGTCTGAGCCCTCGGTGCTGTGGAAAATGTCCCTGCTCATTGCAGAGGCTCGGATTGATGGCCTTTAGATGTCCAACCCAAACCCAAACCATTCTCTGGTCCCACCATTTATCAAAATTATCAATTTGATCATTGAAAATCAAATCAATTACCAAAAAGGATATTTTAATGTCTGAACTGAGACTCCCCTCCACCCCAAGAACCATATGTGCTCCAGAGAGGCAAATTTACAAAGGCCAATTTCACTCTTGTGACAAAATTCACAYTGGGGCAAAAGAACACAATTTATGTCCAGCATAAATCCACAGATTTCCTCCTCTGGTKCTGTTCCACCTTGCTGTTGCTGAGCAACAGGGACATTTTGGCASCACCATGAAGAAATCATATGCCCAGAACTGGAAAACAGCAAAAGATGAAGGCCATGCCACAGCCATTTAGGAAGATTTTGYGCATCTTTCAGAGTTAATTCTACAGTTTTGCAGTACCCAGAGAATTTATTCTTCCCATCATCCCCTCAGAAAATTACAGCTATTTGGAAATTTGACATGTAAATCAGTCAGAACATGTATACTCTGCTTTTTGCCATTACCATTCAAAACACTGTCTTGCCAACAGAACTCAATTATCTTATTACTGGAATTTTTTTTTTCTGTTGTTGTTGCTTGGTTGGTTTTTTGGTTGTGTTGGTTTTTGGGGCTTTTTGGGGAAGGGATTTTGTTGTTGGGTTTTTGTGGGTTTTCTTATTTGTTTTGGGGTTTTTTTTGTTGCTTTTTCTTTCTTTATTTTGTCTTTACACCAAATAATGCTGTTCAGATCACCTATTTTTTTTCTTTTTTAAGCACTCTTTTTTCACTCATTTTTCTGATACGCAGACAATACCAGACTTACACTGGGCAAAAATTTTGGGGTATTTTCCTGGACTGCCTCCGTCCCAGTGCCATCAAAGAGAAGTCACTGTGTTTACAATTCTTAAAATAAATATATATACAACCCAAAATAAATAAATAAATACTATTAAAAATCAATCATAAATACGAATTTAAAAATTTGCACAGGGGGAAATTAATAAAAACAAGCAAAAATAATAAAAAAAAACAAAATTAAACAATTTTTTTTAAAGTAAAATGAAAAAAACCCACAAACACAAACCACTTGAAAGCATCTGGTTGGAGTCACATTTTACCCAACTCAAACCAACTGCCCCTTCCCAAGCCACTCTCACTGATGGTGTCTGTTGCACACAATTCTCACCATAGTCCCAGCTTCATGTGTCAAATGCTCAAATCTGGGGAAATGCAACAATGCAATGTCCTTTATCTGATCCTCCAGGACTGCTGCAGGTTCTGTTTGGTTTTACCATGTTGCACATGAAATATAAACGGTGCAAAGAATGCTGCTGTTGATAATTGTCTAATCTTTCCATCTTGACACTTAGTGTGAAGGAATTGACACAGAATTTGGCCAGAGCTGGGAATAATTCACCTGCTAAGAAAGATGCTACCCACGAGGAAGCAGGGCTGTGCATTGATAAGATTATTTCTTGATTATTTCTTGATTGTTTCCCTCTCCCTCRGAGTTGGAGGGCTCCATGCCAACTGAATTGTTAAGCACAAATTAACACCTTCCTGAGGATTTCTCTTTGTCTTGCCATGGAAAACTGCCTTCAGGTGGAAAGGCCTGGATTGTAATCAGCAGCTGAGCTTATTCCAGATTTGGAATGAGATGAGGAAGCTGTAAACTCTCAAAGGAAATAGACCTCAATGGCTTAAAGGCCTCACTCTCCTTGTTCTTAGAGGCACAGATAGACCACGACACATTAGTTTCACAWGTATTGAAACAGAAACTGTCTAAACAGGGCTTTGAAGCCTTAATATTTCAGGGATCTGAGTCAGAAGGATCATTTTTAGTAAAGCACCCAAAGGTGCTTTACTTGCAAAGGGATTGTGAAGGTGAAATTATTCTTCTTGAGGTTGGGASCTCCTGCCTTGCTGTTGCATTCCAGGGCAGAGCAGAATCACAGAATAGAATCACAAAATGTTTTAGGTTGGAAAACATCATTGAGTTCCCCCCAGCACTGCCAAGGCCAGCACTGACCCATGTCCCCAGCTGCCAGTTCTTAAATCCACCCAGTTTTTAAACTCCTCTAAGGATGGGGACT